AGAAGGAAAAAAAAAGATACAGATGGAAACACACAAAGAGAAGAAAAATACGGGAGAAAGTTAGAAGAACTTGGAGTAAAAAAGGTGGAAAGCTGGAAGCAAAAGGAGAGGAAGTAATATCAGTAATGGAGGCAATGAGGAAATAGGAACTGGGGAGGAGAGAGAGTCGCGAGGCAAGCGAAGCAAGTAAGCAAATGAGAGATGAGAGATGGAGATGAGATAGCGGTGTGGGAGAAGAGGGAGAGAAATATGAGAATTGAGAAATGGAAATCTGGGAGATGAGATGTAGAAATGTGGGAGATAAGATATAGAAATGTATGAGCTGAGAGGCAGAAATGCGGGAGATAAGTAGAAAATACGAAATAAATATGTGGGAGATTAGGAAGAAATAAAGGAGACGAGATGAAGGGATGTGGAAGATAAGATATAGAAAGTGGGAGCGTTTGAGATAGAAATTGGAAGATAAGATTATAGAAATGTATGAGCTGAGAGGCAGAAATGCGAGGAGAGAAAAGTATGAAATACGAAATAAATTGTGGGAGATTAGAGAAGAAATAAAAAGGAGCGAGACATGAAGGGATGTGGAAGATAAGATATAGAAATAGGGAAGATAATATGTAGAAATACTTGAGGTGAGAAACAGAAATACAGAAATGAGAAGAAACGTGAAAGATAAAATATAATGTGGGAGATAACGAGAAAATGTAGGAAGCTAAGAGACAAGATTCTGGCGAAATGAGAGAACAGACGTGGGAAAAGATAAATAAAATAGGAAATGGGAAACAGAAGTGTGGAAGATGAGAAACAAAACATAAGACATGAGAGCGTAGAAGTGTAGAAAATAAGAGATGAAAGACGGATATGTTGGAGATGAGAAATAAAAGCCTGGGGGAAAGAAATGTGAGAAATGACAGATGAGGATTATGGAGAAACGAGATAAAATGTTACAAATGAGAGAAGAAAATGTTGGAGATGGCGATGAGAGATAGAAATGCGGGCCACGAGAAATCCAAATGTTGGAGATGATATAAGTCACTTAACTATTTAAACAACCGTGACCTCACACAACCGAGATTGATCTTCCACAGTAAAGCCTGACCTAGCTAAAACAACTACCTTACACAACAATAACAACAATCACTGACCTTACACAGCAACAACTTCCCTTAACAATCGTGACCTTTCGCACGCCTGTCTGACCTTATTTCACCGTGACCTAATATCGCTCATACCCGCGGCTGACGTCGGCCAACGATCGCTTTTCCCGACATCGCAAAGGTGATAAGTAAAGCTAACGAGCCTGATAATGCCGTCGATAAGGTCCAGAATCCCGGGCAAGTAAGCGCGAACATCGACCTAATACGCACCTCCGACTATCTGCACAACGACATTGACATTAAGTCTGCCGTAATGGTGATAGGGTCCCTTTACCCCTTCCCCCCCCCCTCCCCTTCTCCCCTTCCCCTTTCTCCCCCCATTCNCACCTCGCTATCTGCACAACGACATTGACATTAAGTCTGCCGTAATGGTGATAGAGGTCCTCCTCCTTACCCCTCCCCCCCCTCCCCTTCCCCTTTCTCCCCCTCTCCCCCTCCCCCCTCTCTCCCCCCTTTCTCCCCTCTTCCTTCCTCCGCTGGGGGTATTTCTTTTTCTCGCTCTCTCTCTTCGCTCTGTCTCTTCATTTTATCTTATTACTTTTCCTTCCCGAGTTAATTGTTTTTTTCTTCTTCTTTTCTTTTCAATTAAAGTATTCAAGTTATTTTTTATATATACTTATTTCCTGAAAATTTTCTATCCTTCTCATCTTTTCACATACTTTCCTCCTCTGTCTAATGTCTGCACTTGTCTCGGTACCTTCGTCTACTCTGCTCGGACAACGGACTCATGCTTTATTCTCCCATGCCCCATGAGTCCTAATCTCGGTCGGCCGTTTTATCTGTCATGTCTTCTATCTATTCTCTATGTGCGTCCATGCCTGCTTCGTCTGTCTCTGTTCTCGTACTCCGACATCTGTCACTCCGTCTCTGCTGTAATCTGCTGCGGACTGGCACATCCATATTCCTTGAGCTGCCTCAGAGCAACTATATGTCTGCCTGAGCTACTCGTATGATAGGCTATCTTAAATTATGTACTTGCACCTGCGACCTGTCCTGTATGTACGTATATCATCGTCTGTCTACTCGCTCCGCATTGACATCCTCACTCCTAATCAGCTGTCCCCATGACTTGTACTGCCTGTATGTTTATGACCTGCCGTCAGATCGTGTAATATTCTCCCCTCTCTCATCCCTCAGTCGCACTAACCTCTCTTCTTATCTCCATATTCCATATCTCTCTCTCTTTCTGTCATCCGCCATTCTTCTCTTATAAACCCAGCTCCCATCGGTTTCCGGTTCCCTCCCTTTCCGCACTAGCCCCCCCCCCCGCACTTCTACCCAGGTCCCTCCCCCCCTAGCTCTCTCTATATCCCTTACTCCTTCTCTCCCTACTCCCCTCATCCCTCTCCCTCTCCTTCTCCATCACCCTTCTCCTTCGTCCTGCTCTCCACTCTACCCATCTCCCTCTCCCTCATCACCTCTCCTCTCCCTCCTCTTTCTCCCATCTCCCTTCCGCTAGAGCAGACCAAAAAAAGAATGACACTACTATGTTCCCCAGCTTTCGCGTTCTGACCATTCTGCCGCAGCACACATTCAGCACCCCCCCACTGCCTCTAACCCCCAGCCCTCTATACTGTGGGCGGCACGGCGACGCGGACTGCGCGAAGAGACCTCACTAGATCCCGCAAAAGCCTCAATTTTTTTATAACGATTTTGTCCTACGGTCCGGTGCAGCCATAACGTCTATGCCTTCACGATAATCTGTTTTTCTATATTCTTTTATCTTCTCTTTTTATCTATCTTCTCTCTACCCTTAAATTCCGATTGTGCTCAGGCGCAATTCTTCTTAGTTCATTTCTCTTCTATTTTTTTTTTTCCCATTCATTTTTTCATCTTCTATTTTTCACTCTCTTTTCGAATCTGCAACTCCAGTTATATCGGCTTTTATTATTTCCTTTCTATTTTTGTTACATCGTCTTCTTTTCTTGCCATCTCTTTCTATCGTCTGCCATTTTTATCTATTCTTTATTTCCCTTTTATGTACTTCTGTCATGCTTTTTATTTTTCCCTTTTTTGTCTTTTTTTTGTCTCGTTTTTGCCAGTCATACCCCCACTTCTTCCTCCTCCCTGTATCCTACCTTCCTTTCCTCTTCCTTGCTTCCTTCCCTCCCTCCTTCCCTTCTAATATCTTTTACCCTGAGTCGCTCCCTCACTTCTCTTTCTCCTCCCTCTTCTCTTCCTCTTCTTCTCCCCACTCTCTCCTCTTCCTCTCCCCACTCTCTTCCTCTTCCTCCCCCACTCTCTTCCTCTCTCCTCCCCACTCTTTCTCTCTCTCCCTTCTCTCTCTCTCTCTCTCTCTCTCTCTCTCTCTCTTCTCCTCTCTCTCTCTCTCTCTCCTCTCTCTCTCTCTCTCTCTCTCTCTCTCTCTTCCTCTCCCTCTCTCTCTTCCTCTTCCCTCTCCCTACTCCTTCTGCCTCTCCCTCTCTCCCTTCCTCCTTCCTTCCTCCTACTCTCTGCCTCTCCCTCCTCCCTCCTCTCTCCCTTCTTGCTCCCCCTCCCCTCCCCCTCTCTCTCCTTCAAGACAAGAACAGAAAAGAAAATCGCTTTTTGGCGGGAGGGGGGGGGGAGGGGGAGGGGGACATCAAACACCCGCGAGCACTTCCACCAAAACGCACTTCTGACTCAGCAACCGAACCGTAATAGACGTGAATTAAAGTCTGGATAACGTATGGTGAAAATCCCCTCCCCTCCCCACCCCCCTCCCCCTTGTGACGTCAGAGGTCTACGTCACGGAGAGGGGCGTGGCCTCCGATGCTCCCTTGTCCCATTCGTTTGACAGTATCTCGGCCTCGTCTCGAAGCTTGGTACAAAATATGCTTATTACTTCCAATTTTTCCTCGGACATTTGTCGCTATCTTATTGCTCTACGTTCTTTTCTCTTTTCTTTTTTTTTCTTTCTCTCTCTCTCTTTCTGTGCCTTGTTCCATTTCGATAACTTTGATAAACTTTGATACGTCTTCGTGGAATATTAGTTTTATGTGAAGCAGTCTGGGGAATAATAATGATTGTAATAACTCGATCCTGAATGTTTCTGGAAGTTAATCGCAGATGACGCGGCAAAATTTCTTATCTCTCGCACAAGGACGAAAAAAACAGCAAATCAATAATGTAACACATATTTACCTCTCATTAAGAAGGGAAAGGGGAAGCGAGAAAGAGAGAGAGAGAGAGAAAGAGAGAGAGAGAGAGAGAGAGAGAGAGAGAGAGAGAGAGAGAGAAAGAGAGAGAGAGATCAGGAGAGAGAGAGGAGATGATGATCACACACACACATACACAACATATACATACACATCACACACACACACACACAACACACACACACAACCACACAGAGAGAGAGAGAGAGAGAGAGAGAGAGAGAGAGACAGACAGAGACAGGACAGACAGAGAGAGACAGACAGAGACAGACAGAGAAACAGACAGACAAACAGACAAACAGAGAAATAGACAGACAAATAGCTGATCGCTGACGAGGGGAGAGGGGTGGCGAGGGGTAACAAGACAAAGCAATTGCTACCCGAGGTTTTACAACACATAAGGTATTCCAAGTGGATGCAATAAATGTCGCTCTTTAGATCATACTCTCGATTTAGTGGTACAAGTTTTTGTTCCAGTTTTCTGTCAAGTCAATGGCCATGTTGAACACTCGGGGAGACTTAAGAGGAAAATTAAGAAAACTTTAATGATCTTTAACAATGATGAAATTCTATTCAAAGGGTTATAGGGTTCAGTTAATTTTTTTTTCCTGTTATTATCGTTATCATTATCAATTTTATATTCACCGCTTCGTCAAAACGGTTATTATAAACATCGTTAACCTGCAGTATTATCATCATATTCTAATTCCTACCATTCATCTACCGTTCTCATCATCACTTCCGTTCACCACTCATCATCACCATCTTCACCATAATTAGGGAAACGAAAATCACCATCACTAACCACACTCATCACCATCACCATCACCACTATTAGAGAAATGAAAATCACCATCACTGCCCACACTCATCACCATAACCTTCACCATAATTAGAGAAACGAAAATCACCCTCACTACCCACACTCATCACCATCACCACTATCAGAGAAATGAAAATCACCATCATTACTCACATTCATCACAACCACCTTCACCATAATTAGAGAAATGAGAATCACCACTATTATCCACACTCATCACCATCACCATCACCACAATTAGAAAAACGAAAATCACCCTCACTACCCACACTCATCACCATCACCATCACCACTATCAGAGAAATGAAAATCACCATCACTGCCCACTCATCACCATCACCACCACTATTAGAGAAACGAAAATCACCCTCACTACCCACACTCATCACCACCACCTTCACCACAATTAGAGAAATGAGAATCACCCTCACTACCCACACTCATCACCACCATCTTCACCACAATTAGAGAAATGAAAATCACCATCACTTCAATTAGAGAAACGAAAATCACCATCACTGCCCACTCATCACCATCACCTTCACCACAATTAGAGAAACGAAAATCACCCTCACTACCCACACTCATCACCACCACCTTCACCACAATTAGAGAAACGAAAATCACCCTCACTACCCACACTCATCACCACCATCTTCACCACAATTAGAGAAACGAAAATCACCCTCACTACCCACACTCATCACCACCATCTTCACCACAATTAGAGAACGAAAATCACCCTCACTAATCATCACCACCATCTTCACCACAATTAGAGAAACGAAAATCACCCTCACTACCCACACTCATCACCATCACTCATCACTCATCATTTGATATCAATGACGTGGCTCCTCTTCGTGTTGCAGATTCGTCACATATTTCCAGGTGAAGTTCGAGAGATTTTGCGCGGGAAAAAAAAATGGCGGTTTTTTTCTCATCCCGCGAAATTGCCGCGATTTATTCTTCTTGGGGGAATCTGGAGTCATCTTTGGCTTGGTCGCGATGGTCTGAAGGGCCTTGATCAATATCTAGGGTAGATATGGAGGGGGTTGAGGTTGGGGGTATTTTCGCTGTGTTTTTCTTTGTAGCTTTTTTTTCTGTCTTTTTGTCTGTCTTTCTCTTTCTTGGTCTTTGTCTTTCTCTTTCTCTCTCTTTGCCTTGGTCTTTGTCTTTCTCTTTCTCTCTCTTTGTCTTTTCTTCTCTCACCGTGTCATCCTTACCTATACCCTCATCTACATCACCCTCTCTCCCCCTAACCCACACCCATTCCCTCACCCCTCCCCATCACCCTCATCACCCCCACCCTCTCTCCCTCCCTCCCTCCCTCCCTCCGTCTCCCCTTACGCACCCCACCCACCCCCTCCCCCCACTCAGCCAATGGAGGCGAGAAAGTCTGCGTACCCCCAAGAAAACCAAAATTATTATTGGATCGACTGAAACAAAAGACGCATTCTTTCTCCCCTCTCCCCCCTCCCCCCACCCGACTCCCCGACTCCTCCCACCCGACTCCCCGACTCCCGACCCGACTGCCCTGGCCGACCCGCAGCTGCACTCTGTAATCTGCATGATTGGAACCCCAGCGTCTGCCTGCCTCGACCTTTCGCTAGACGTCTGTGCTGCCCTTGCATGTAATTTTTTTTTTTGGGGGGGGAGAGGGGGGTAGGTTTTTTTTTATTGTGATTATCTTTTTTCTTTTTTTTTTTTCTTGTTTTTCGTTTTTGGTGTTTTTTTCTTTTTCTTCTTCATTATTTATGTTTTCTGTCTTCCTTTATTGGTTCCTCTTCCTCCTCTCCGTCCACTTCTGTTTCTTCCTTTGTCCTCTTAATTTTTTTCAGCTTATCTATCTTTTTCATATTTCTTCTTCTCTCTCTCTCTCTCTCTTCTCTCTATATATATATATTATATATATATATATATAATATATATATATATATATATATAATACATATAATATATATGTATATATATATATCTATCTATCTATATATCTATATATATATATATATATATATATATATATACATATATATATACATATATACATACATAGACACACACACAACACACACACACAACACACACACACACACACACACACACACACACACACACACACACACACACACACACACACACACACACACACACACACACACACACACACACACACCACACACACACACACACACACACACACACACACACACACACACACACATATATACATATATATATATATATATATATATATACATATATATATATATGTATATATATATTGTATAAAACAAGGCTCTTCACAACCTGATGGAAACCAGACCCCAGCCCAAAATACAGAAAGTCAATCAAGACGTGTAAATAAAACAAATAAATCATCCTTCGTCTTCCTTTCGGCTACTAAATCTCCTTTCACGTCACACACGCACGCTACACTCCCCAAATTGAACATTATCATCACCATCATCATATTTCTATCACCATCATAATATCATATCACCATCATCATAGAATCATTACCATCACCATCATCATATCATCATCATCACACCACCATAATCATCATCATCACCATCCAAATCCCATCCCACCCCATCATCACCACCACCATCATCACCATCCAAATCCCATCCCTATCACCAACACCATCACACCATTCACCATCACCGTCACCACCACTCACCTGCGTCTTCTGCCTCACCACCTTGATTGCCCTGATCATGTGCAGCCCCATCTCGACGGTGCACTGCGCGTGGTCGGGTCTCGCTTCCGGCAGTCCCGACACGCAGTAGTAGCAGTCTCCTAGAAGCTTGATCCTGAGGCAGTGGTTTTCCTGGGGGAAAAGGGAGGGGGGGGGGTGTTAGCGTGTTTTACTTTTATTTGTTGGTTGGTTTTGGTTTGGTTATTTGTTTTTGTTCTTCGGTTTCTTCTTTCTTCTTTCTTTCTTTCTTTCTTTTTTTTTTTCTCTCTCTCTCTCTCTCACACACACACACAACACACACACACACACACACACACACACACACACACACACACACACACACACACACACACACACACACACAATTTCTCTCTCTCACTCTCCCTCTCTCCCTCCTCCCTCCCTCCTCTCCCTCCCTCCCTCCCTCTCTCCTCTCTCTCTCTCTTCTCTCTCTCTCTCTCTCTCTCTCTCTCTCTCTCTCTCTCTCTCTCTGCGTGTGCTTGTGTGTGTGGAGGGGTGGGGGGCTGTGTAATTGGTTAGTATCATATTTTATAAAAGTATGTTTTTAAAAATCATCACAAGCGCACACTCCAAAGGTAATTTGAAAAAAAAAAATAAAAAAGGAAAACACAAGAGAAAAAAATTCAGTCCAATAATGAGCCTTGTTTGGAATGTATATTGCACAGTCATTTACATATCTGGAATATGACTGAGCTGGCATTAATATTCTCACTTGCTAATTTAATAAACCAGCTACTGTTTCAGTTCCTTACTCGTCATTGTTAAGACTGTACCCACGAACAAGAAATATTTACATACAAGGAGCAGTTCCATTTGAATACCACCTACCCACGTTTACTTATGACTATTTACAGTAATTGAGGCCCTATGCATCCCCCAGAATGCTGCTAGATTTGACTGATCGATGTACAGTAATAACAATGATAACCATAACAATTTGGGGCTCACTAATAGCTGCTGCTGCCACAAACTAGTACCGATAACAAGCAGAACCCATAATCAACTAGTTAACATATATATACTCACACTAGCGAGGCGATCGAAGCGGGCAAAGAGGTCGTTGAGAACCCTAACCAGCTCTTGGGCGCTGCACTGGCTGGCGAGGGCTGTGAGGGAAGGAAAGGGCTCATGTTAGGGCGAAATATCTTAAGGGTGGTTCACTTCCATGGGCATACATAGCGCACGCTAAGGGGAGGGGTTAAACCCGCTCGCACGATTCTCAAATTCTATGGAAAATGTCGATGTCAGATCGTATATTGGGTACTCAGCATGTGGCTGAATTACGTTTTCCTGATCTAACCTCGCCTTTATGACCACAATCAACGTATAGCTTTGCACTGCACCGTGTATGTATAAATATATACATATATACATATATATATATATATATACATATAATACAGATAAGCATATACATATATATATTTATATATATATATAATATATATAATATATATATATATATATATATATACATACCTATATACATATATAATTATATGTATATATATATACATATTATATATATATATATATATATAATATATATATATATATATAATTATATATATATGTATGTATATAATCTTGGATTGTAACGGATGAAGGGCATTTGCTTAGCGAGGGCCTCGATGCCGACTCATCCCCTCTAAGTAAACCTTTCCAAAGCCGGGAAGTGGGTTCCAGTAAGTGCCTGCGGGAAAGCACACAAGGCTTGGATCGTGTTTGTTTAATGTTTTTTTTACTTTTTGAAAACTCGTCAAATATATAATTATGCAAAAAAAAAGAAAGATGAAATCCCTTTTCGATATAGGTCATGGTTGTTCCTTACTGATGGTGAGGGACAGAGGGTCATGGTATCACTTGTGTTTTCCATTACTTAACGGATAATGTAAAGACTTCTTGGCGATGCGGATAATACTACTACTCTTACTGATTAACCGAAATAAGATGCTTACCTTCCGTTATTTTCCTTTCTTTTCATTTCCAGTTGGAAAAAAATGACGTAAAATCTTTTTGAAATCCGACTACACACTTCCAGGAAAACAGCAATCAAATTAACATTTCAAAAATGCTCATCATCACCAGGATTTTTACTTTATTAAACCAAACAAAAGACGTAAGGAAATAGAACGTACTCTTTAATTACAATCATCCCCGTCCAATCCTTATAACATCTTAACTCAAGCATGGTTAGATCAGCTACAAATATTCAACTACAAGACAAAATGCTAATACTCCTCAGCGTCAGGACAAGTGTATTTTACATCACCTTTAATACTCAGTTGTAAGGAACTAACGTCGATTTAAAAAAAAAAAAAAAAGGAAGCCATTTCAGTCACTACTCTCAGAAAATCTGTTTTAAGTTATGAGTTTCAGGATAAACTATGGTATGTAAAATAGGAAATTTATAATCCCTTAGTGTTCTATGGACATATATAATAAATGGTATATATAAATGCATGCAGATCTAAGTCAAGAGCAAAATACGATATTTGCATTTATAGTTTACATTCAGACATTCAGAAAACCGTTTTTCATGTTGTAATATATTCTGTTTCATAACGAGTGCTTACATATTGGCTTTTAGTTAAAGTATGTATGTAACGCGAGACAAAAATGAACAGTTACCGATCTTTCTCATTTTCTCTTTCTGCTCTCTCTCTAGATCACTTCCTCCTTTCCTATTCCCCTCCCTCCTTCCTTTACTCCGTCCTTCATTCCCCACTTCCCTCCCTCCTTCCTTCCTTCCTTCCCTCCTTCCATTCATCCCTTCCTTGTTCCCCCTCTCCTTCTCTCCCTTTCCATCTCACTTTCTACCTTTCGCTTCTCGCTTATTCACGCTCACGCTCTCATTTTCACTTTCACTCCCTCCCTCTTGCCCTTTCTCCTTTCCCATCTCGCTTTCTCCCCCCCCCTCTCTCTCTCTTTTTATCTCTCTCCATCTTTCTCTCTCTCTCTCTTTCTATCTCTCTCTATCTTTCTCTCTCTCCCTCTCTCTCTCTCTCTATTAATTCACATTCTTACTATCTATTCATACATTTTTCCTTTTTGTTTTTACGTATTCATTTCAAAACAGAACAAATTCCCTCAAAAAGAAACAAATATATAAATAAATGAATAAATAAAAATGAAGAGTGTGTGATAGTGTAGTTGCTGGAGGCAGAGGAGTAAAATCTCTTACGTAATAGTTAGCACTGATAATATATGTTACTGAATATGATATTACAATGAAAAAAAACGTAAATGTAATCCTTGCTGTTGTCATTATAATAAGGGAATACTGGTGGATGGTAGGAAAAACCTTATCATTATAGCTGTCGTTATTATTATCATCAGTGCAAGTAACTTTTCCTTATTGGTTATTATCATCATCACTATCATTACTATCATCATTATTATCACCATAATCCTTACTTATCATCATTATCATTATTACTAAAACAATTATTATTATATTATCATTCTTATCATCATCATTATCATCGCTACCATTATCATCACCATAATTAATATTTCTAATCATTACTATCATTCCTATTATTACTATGGTTATCATCATCATAATTCTTTTCATCATTGTTATCATCATTATCATAATTATCACTCAGCTACTCGCGCAAGACGGGAAAAAAAGACAAAGAAAGAGAGAAAGAAAAATCTTTATATTAAGCTCCCCTTCTTAATTAACCCGATTTTTACACGTTAGTATCCCTTCTATGTTTTCGCGGCAGTCACGTGACCCCCTCCCCCTCCCCCTCCCCCCCTCTCCTCTTCCTCCGTCTCTCCTTTTTTTCTTCTTCTTCCTCCCTATCTCCTCCTCTTCCTCTTCCTCCTTTTCTTCTTATTCTTTCTCTTCCTTCCTCCTACCCCTTCCCTTCCCTCAATTTTTCGTGTTCCTCTTTATCCTTCCCTACTCTTCCTCTTCCTACCCATTCCCCCTCCCCTTCCTCTTCCTCCTTTTCACTTCCTCTACCTAACTCCACCCCCTCACCTCCCTCTCTTCTTGCTCTTACTCCTTTCTTCCTTTTCCTCTTCCTCTTCCTACCCATTCTCCCTCACCCTCCCCTCCCTCTCTTCCTCCTCTCCTTTCTTCCCTCCTTTTCCTCTTCCTACCCCCTCATCCTCCCCTCCCTCTCTTCCTCCTCTCCCTTCTTCCCTCCTTCTCCTCTTCCTCATCCTACCTCCATCCCCCTCCTCTTCCCTCCCTTCCTATTCTTACGTCACTGTATCTGATCAGAGGGCGCTCGACGCTCACTGTACTTAAGGAGCTTTGTCACTGTAGGCATTGTCAATATATTAAGAGACTCTGGTGTTATTTGTCGTTATGTAGTCTACTTTTGTTGATGGTGGTGGTGATGATGGTAGTGGTGATGGTGATGATGATGGTGATGGTGGTGATGATGGTGTGATGGATGATGATGATGGTGGTGGTGATGATGGTGATGGCAGTGTGGTGTGATGATGGTGATGGTTGATGATGGATGATGGATGTGATGATGATTGGTGATGATGGTGATGTGATTTGATGATTGATGGTTGGTGATGATTGGTGATGGTTGGTGTGTGGTGATGGTGATGATGATGATGTGGTGTGTGATGAGGTGATGGGTGTGGTGATGATGATGGTGATGATGGTGATGGTGATGATGGATGATGATGATGATGGTGGGATTGAGCAATGGTGATGATGATGATGATGTGGTGGATGATGGTAATGGTATGATGGTGATGATGGTGATGGTGGTGATGATGATGATGAAGATGAAGATGATAGCGATGGTGATGGTGATAATGATGATGGTGATGTGATAATGATGATGATGAAGATGAAGATAGTGATGGTGGTGATGGTGAGGATGAATATGATGAAGATGCTAATGAAGATAACATTGTTCTAGCTATAACTGACACCAATGCTGCTATCAATACGCATCAAACAAACAAACAAACAACAAAAAACACCAAAGACCACACAAAGAAAATGCCAAGGGCGTGGCGCCATTACGGGAGAGCTGCCGTCCGTTCTCCGTCTCTCCTTATCTCCCCTTTTATCACAACTGTCTCCGCTATCTCCCCGATTCTATCCTGGGAAACTGTGCCTACCTTCGCCCTGGCTGCTCCCCTCTCCTCTTTACGTAATGAAGTGGATGTCTGAATTGGTTTACCTGTTGTGGCTCTCCTTGGGGTGGATATGGAAATACGTATGCGTACATTTTTGTATATTGCACGAGTGTATACAGATGATTACATATATATGTGTGTGTGTGTGTGTGTGTGTGTGTGTGTGTGTGTGTGTGTATATATATATATATATATATATATATATATATATATATATATATATATATATATATATACACACACACACACACACACACACACACACAACACACCACACACACACACACACAAACACACGCGTATGCGTGCATGCGTGTACACAATCGCATACACATACCTTTACACACATTCATACATATACACGTGCCCAAGCTACCACCAACACCTGTACTGAATCTAAACGTGGTAACCGCCTCGACTGAACATGTTCTGTGTGTTCACGGCCGCGATCAACGCCATCTATACGCCGCCTTGAAAGCCCTTCGCGTGAACAAGTGCTGAAAGGAATCCACGTCAGACAGCACGGGGGCTTTTTGAATAGGTTTTATTTCGACATCATCCTTCTATCCTTTTTTTTTTATTTATATATATATATATATATATTGTGTGTGTGTTTTCTTTTTTTTCCATTTCTTATTTTTTTCGATATTTTTCTTTTCTTTTCTTTTCTTTTCTTGTATTTTCATTTAGCTTTATTTTTTCTTCTCTTCTCCTTTCCTCCCCTTATTCACTCACACTCTTTCATTCATTTTCTTTTTTTCCATATCCATTTATTCTCTCTTCTTTCTTCTCGCCTTTCTCCTCTCCCCTCCCGCCATTCGTCTCTCTCTTCTCTCTCCTTGTTTATTTCTTGTCCTTTCATCTGCTTTTGCTTATTCGTTTTTGTTTTCGTCTTCTTCTCTCTTTTCTTATCTTCTCCCCTCTTCAATGTTGCTTTCTCTTCTCTATCCTTTTATTTTTCTACTCTTTTCTTTTCTTTTTT